AATTTCCAGCCGATTTCCCCTAGTCCTCCTATAGGTAAGTCTTCATATGTGGATGCTTGGTGAACATGCAAAAATTACAGTCATTAGTAATTGTGTGCCCAAGTGGTGCTGTAAAGAGGTCCGTTTCATCTGTCCTTGCCAGGGAAGGGGCAGCTGGCCAACTGTGCCCACAAGTGGCTAGTTGCTACAAAAGTATTGCAAAACTTTAATAGCTAGAAAGAATTACTGGTGCAAGAATTAGATCCAGCCAGAGGTAATTTTAGCTTGGTGTTAAAGTGACAACTCATGAAATTAGTCACATGCAGACTCCCTTTCTTCCCCATCTTGCCCAAGTCTGGCCCACTTCTGTTTAACAAGGGACATTTTTGATGTGGCATTCCTACATTCCCACACAAACACATGGTTAGCCCAAAGTGAGCATGGCCTCAAGCAAACTCCTTTCTCTTCCTTTTCCCCCATACCAGCCCCTTCTTCTGGTTTTCTGGTTTGGATAAAGGGCACCAACATTTTCTCAGGCACCAGGTTCTGAACCTGGTGATCATGTCAAACTCCTTTCACTCTGTTCCCAAGTCATGGATAGTCCATGTCGAGTTCACCTCCTCTTTGACTGCCATCACCCTAAATTCAGGACCACTTATATTTCACTCGTGTTATTTTAGGAGCCATCTACTTGCTCCCTTCCTCTCTAGTACCTTCCCCAATCAGTCTAGCCCTTTACTCCCTCACTCTAACACTTTGAGTGGCTCCCCACTGCCAAGTGAATCAAGCAAAACTCCTTCATTGTGGAATTCAAGATACTCTGCAAAAGAACTCAAGCCAAGTCTCTGGCCCCATTTCCACTCTGTTTCAGCCAGACTATTCCACCTCCTGTTCCCTGCCTGACTGGCTCCTGCACTTGCTCCACTGCTGCTTCTGGCTTGAATATCTTTTTTTCCTGTTAGAGACCCGACTATTTTCCCAGGACTAATTCAGGTGCTGAAGAGACGGTCTCCCTTCTAGCCACCTTGACCACATAGAAGGAACTAACTGACAAATGAGGAGAACATCCTTGTTGCTTTAAGTTGCCTCACGTTTGGTGAGTTTGATGGCAGGTCCTATTTCACCAGCTTTGACTCCAGAAGGCATCTTGTTGTCTCCAAACATTAAAGTCATCCTCCAAAGATAAGAATGTCCATCCCTGAGAGTCTTCCAGAATAACAACTGGTGTTTAGTGAGCACTTTCTCTGTGCCAGGCTGAAAGCTTTCTATGCATTATCTCATGAATTCCTCGCCATCACTTATGAGATAGACCACTGTTACCTTCACTTGACAGCTGAGAAATGAGGCTTGGCGAGGCTGGCTTACTTAGTCTGGGGACCGTCGTTAACATAGGTAGTTCTTCAGCTCCTAGAGCCCACCCCTCCCACTCAACATGGGCTACAATTACCATGTGGAGCAAAGGTGAGTGCAGTTATCATAGACTCTGACTGTCTGGAGGAAGAGCTTTGCTCAAAGCCTTTAGCCTCTGAGGATGATCACTTTCCTGAGGAAAACTCATGCCCTTTATATGTTTTGGGTGTAAGTCAGTCTCATTACTTATGTGATGATCACATCTCATGCAATCTTGTCTTCAAAACTAATTGTTTGTATTGCTATTTAAATGTGAGATGTATGATTATGCCTAGGGATTCTGTTTTCCCTATACCATCCCTGGCTAAGGAAAATAAACATTTTCCCTTTTACCATTTTCCTGGAAACAAGTACCCAGGCTAATAAGATAACCAGCTGCTTATCATTTCAGTGTTTAACCACTTTTCTCCTAAATTAACTTATTTTAGAAAGACTTAGAAATTATTGAAGCCTCTGACTCATGGATGCTCTCAAGTACTTCAGGTTTTTGGGTCAGGCTTGTTTTTCATGTAAAAATCAAACAGCTTGAGGCCTCAACCTTGGAAAATAGCAGACACTGGCCAGCTGTCAAAGCTTCCAGGAAAACAAAAAGGAGCCTGAGGAGAAACTTTGAAAGCCTTTATATGTGTTCACTGTAGACACTAAGGGTCAAAAACAGGGAAGGGGAACCAAGCCAGAAGGAGATAAACACTATTAGCTATTAGTCAGGGTGAGGCTAGGATACGCCACAGTAACAAACTCCTAGATCTTAGTGACTAGTACATGAGAAGTTCTTTTGCTCACATCAAGTCCACTGCAAGACCCATAGTCCTCCAGGGAATCTCCCTTCCAAGTGGTGATTCAGGGAGCCACTACGCTTCTACCTTGTGATTCCAATATTTCAACACATGGCTCCTGGGGTCACTCAATTGGAGAAAGAGGGAGCCAAAGAGTCATGAAGGTGTTTTTGATAACTTAGCTTGGAAATGATACACGAGACTTTAGTGTGGTCCATTGGCCAGAAACAGCCATGGCTTTGCCCAACTTGCAAGGCTGCTTAGAAACGTGGAAGAGCTCATGCAGGTTAAGTAAGCAATCCGGGCACTGCCATGAGGGCAGGGCTCGAGTCATTTAATGTGATTCTAACTCATTTACTAGGTGATCTCCTAAAATGGATGTAACTTTCATCTTTATACTCCTGTACCTTCTGCTGTAGAAACTGAAGCAGAAGAAGGCGAGAGAGAGGAGAGGTAGTAAAAGAACAGCGATTTACTGATTTGGATTTAATCTCCTTAGCGGACAATTGGAAATCCACATTTGTATCTCATGTTAGAGGATTTTTACTACTTTTAAAAGAACACCACCAGTCTGGGAACCATTATTTAAATCCCAAATATTTCATTAACTAATCTGTGACCTTGAACGTCCAACTTTCTTTCTCTGGTTCTCAGAATGCCCATTAGTACCTCAGAAATGATTCATTCACTTCTCTGAGTTATTGTGAAGTTCATGTCAGATGTCTGAAACACTCAGCAAAGTGCTCAGCTCACAGGAGGTCTGAAGAGTTTGTTGAATGCCTATCTATGAGCAAATTAGCTGCTTCTTGTGTAATCTAATAGAAGCTGCTAACATCCTGAAATGAAACACAGCTGGTACAAAGGGCATTAGATCATCTTAGTCGCTCAGAATGTTGGGGTTGGTAAATTATTCCCGTGGGGGAATGTTTCAAAATAAAGGTAGCATTCATTTTACTCCACTGAGATATTATGAAACTCCAATTAGATATTTGTGAAAAGGCCATATAAACTGTAAAGTACCATGTAAAGATAAAGTACTAGTATTAAAGATATTGTGACCAGGGCTGGCTTCACAGATGTGTGACCTGAGCTGCGGTCACACAGAGCCCCATGCGTGGAAGGGTCTCACACTCGCTTTAATGATCTGTGATCACCATCTTGAAATTCGTAATAATTTTTGAGCATGGGGCTCCCATTTTCATTTTACCTTGGGACCTACAAATTACGTAGCTAATCCTGGTTGTGACTCAAAATGTTGCTTCTTTTTGTTAAAGGAAGGGACTTTTAGATGCTTCTTCTGGTCTCCTGCAGCCCTAAAATTACATGATCCTTTTAACTATTCCAAATGTCATAAATGTTTTTCATTTTTGTTGTTTTTTTTTTCAAACTCGGTACCATTCTTCTATTTTCTAATCAAAACTTTTTAAAAGTATCTGTTATTTTTCACAAGCGCTCAGTCTTTCAGACTCCACTTTTGCGAAGCCCTGGGGAAAAGATTTCATTTTCCCCACTAGATTCAGTCTATGTAGGGAAAATCCTTAGAGACAATTTCAACTTTGTGCTTTTATGAGGCCTCTTTCAAAGTATGCTGTGTGAAGACTTCATGATCTGGATTCTAGACTGAAGACTTGTGCTGGGGTTGAGGAATGTGTTGTATGCTTTTGCAAAAGAACATATTTTTAAAATATCTACATGGGAAAGAAAACTTTCAGTTTTCTGCTTCCAAACCAGGGACGCTGTAATGTAGCGGAAAATGTACAAGACTCGGCATTCATAGATTTCTGTTCACGTTCTTGTTCATCAGTTACTGTGTATGTGAGCCCAACCAAGTTGCTTAAATCTCTCTGGGCCTTAGTTTCCTCATCTGTAAAGTGGGATGACAGAGGGCAGAGGCAGGTAGTACCTATTTCACAGAATTCTGAGGCTAAAATGTGAAAGTAACTTTCTTGAAACTCCTTTTAAGTTGTGACATATCCACAGAAGGGACTAACATGTTGTAGAGTTGTTTTCATTGTAAATAATTTCATCCCATGTATGAATCAACCATGATGACCTCAAGAACTAAAATAGCCTCCTGCACTATTTCTCTTTAGCATCATGAGGCTCAGCTCCACAGAGGCCCCTGGGTTAGGTAGAAAACAGATTATTTTGTTGACGGATATTCATTTAACAAATATCTTTTGAGCATCGACTGTGAGCTCTGCACTTTGCTAACTACATACTGAGAATTCTGATATTAGTTCACCATCTAATATAGCCTGTTAAAAACTACATACCGTTATACATTTAAAATAAATATTCCATCTGCAAATATTTAATACATAGCCACTATATGCCAGGTCTATAATATGCAGATTTTTAAAGGAGAGGTAAAAGGTGCTACGGGGATTATAACAGATCAAGTCTTTTTGTTGTTGTTGTTGTTGGAAAGGGAAAGAAAGTTAATGTAAAAACTGGAAGCAGAACTCCTCAGGGAATTAACAGCAAAATACCTTGATGGACTGTCCCAGTTAAGAAGGGTAACCCTTGGGCCAGGGGTGGGATGAGTAGAAGAGAGAAGTAAAAAATTAAATATTAAAATAAAGTAAGAATTTACATGCTGCTAGTATACAATAAAATAAGATTCCTAGGGGAGGCTACAGCTCAGTGGTAGGGCAGGGACTTAGCATGCATGAGGTCCTGGGTTCAATCCCTAGTAGTGCCATTAAAATAAATAAACCTAATTACCCCCCAAAAAACACCAAAATTTTTAAAAATAAGATTTCTAAATTTCTCCAAGGAATCTCAAAAACAAGAGAGTAAAGGGACCTAGAATAGAAGAAACCTGAGGGAAATTAAAGGAGGAAACAGAGTTGGTGGGGAGGGAGGCAGAGAGAGAGAGTGGGGCAAGAAAGACTCGGCCACAAGAAGATGGCCAGTAAGAAGCTCCCAGTGGTTGCTTCCAGCTGTGACAACTGTGTTGCACAACTCCAGGAAGAGATATCAACCTCCGGTTCTTATATTTATGAAACAAGTTCTCAGCAGATGGCAATAAAAGTCTCAAGGAAAATGAAACTCCCCACTCCCAATTCACACATCATTCAAATTAGCAGGAATACACTGGCTGGGGAGAATTTTGAAAAGAGCTGTTCAGTTTTACATTGCTTCTGGCAACGTAGTCCTTACTCTTGGGCATCACCTCAAAATATTCACTGAAATTATACCTTACAGAATTTCCTTGTATGGACGGGATTTTGACAACCTCAAGGGAAAAGGTCAGTGGATGGTAGCTGGGAAGGAAGAGGTATTCAGGGAGACAGTGGCAAGAGGTCAGGAGCTCAGCAGACGCCCGAAGTCATCAGGCCCGTTTTGCCCGATGCACAGCGAGCCCAAACGTTGAGATGTGAGGTGTGCAGTAAGGTGAGGGCTCATTTAATAGGCAGCCAAGCAAGGAGATGGGAGAACAATCTCAAATCCACCCCACTGAAGGCAAGGGGCTTGAGGTATTTACGAGATAACAAAGAAGCAGGTGATATGAGGCGCGGGGAGTGTGGGGAAATGTGACTGGAAAGCGTTGCAGTAATGGTCGTTCTGGGCAGGTCACACAGGGCTTGGCATCTTCTAGGGGTGGAGTTTTTGGTCCTCCGATTTCTAAAGGTCATCCAGCGGACACTTGTGCACGCCCAGTTGAACAGCTGGGGGTCCTATCTTAACTATCCAGTCTTAACCGGCTCAACTCAAGCTAGATGCAGCTGACTCCAAGTTCCTAGAAAACTCCTTGGGCAAACATCTTATTGTTGAGGCCACGAGCCACTCGAAGACACGCAAGTCTTAAAACAACCTTGATCAGTAAAGGCAGGTAAAATGGACTGAACTCACTGTGTCACCAACCATATCAGATGAGTCTTTCAAACGAAATTCCCTCCTGCCCAACAGATACTCAAGCCATTCTGTTGATTCTTCATCTTTAAAGGCACACACAAAAGGGGCTACTAGTTTTTAAACTTTACCTACCAGGTATGGTCTGATGAGCAAATTTCTGGACAACGTGACCAAGAAACGTGGAGCCATCTCTCTCCCACCTGAACTTACGTGACTTAGGAAAAATCCCTTCACCTCCCTGAACTTCAGGTAAAACACCCATCTTGCCTCTCCCATCAATTGTGATTCAAAACAAAACAAAGCAACACAACAA